GGGAAGGGCTGCAGGACCGGGGCCGAAGGTGAAAGGAGTGCATGAAAACTGGTTATTCCTCAAGGACATGATCCTTGAAGCACAAAAAAGTCTATTCCCATGCAGAGGAAAGGTAGCAGAAGAACTGGTAAGCCATCTTGGCTTAATAAGGATATCATGGTCTTCTTGAAAAAGAAGAAAGAGGCATAAAAACAATGGAAGCTTGGGACAGTCCCCAAGGAGTACTATACAACAACTGCCTGCACTTGTAGGGAGCAGATTAGAAAGGCTGAGGCAGCGACTGAATTTAAACTAGCTACAGAAATCAAGGATAAGAAGAATTCCTTCTTTAGGTATGTAGGGAACAGGGGGGAAACAAATGGATGCATGGGGCCATTGCTTAACAACTCAGGACAGCTGGTTTCCAACACTCAGGAGAAAACCAAACTCCTGAATGACTACTTTGCTTTGGTATTTCACCAAACTAAGGGGAACATCATATTCGATAAGGTTCAGAATGGGTATGGTAGGAACGACCACCTTCCTACTGTTGATGTTGAACTTTTGTGTGATCAGTTAGAAAAGTTAGACATTTATAAGTCAGCAGGACCAGATGAACTTCATCTGAGAGTGCTGAAGGAGCTGGCCAAAGTCATTGTGGGACCTCTGACCAAACTCTTCCAAAACTTGTGGTGCTCAGGGGAGGTCCCTGAAGACTGGAATAGGACCAATGTTGTGCCCATCTTCAAGAAGGGGAAGAGAGAGGACCCAGGCAACTACAGGCCAATTAGCTTACCTTCTATCCCACAGAAAATCGTGGAAAAATTTATCAAGGAGTCTATGTGCGATACGCCTGCAGAAGGTAGGATTCTGAATGACAGCCAGCATAGCTTCATCGTGGGTAGGTCTTGTCTTACCAATCTCATCTCCTTCTATGACCAGGTGACTCACCACCTAGCTAAGAGAGAGGAGGTCCACACCATTATACCTAGACTTACAAAGGCCTTTGATCTTGTATCCTGTGATGTTCTCAAGGGAAACTTGGAAGATTGCAGGCTTAACCACTCAACAGTTAGGTGGGTAGGAAACTGGCTGAGGGGTAGGACCCAGAGAGTTCTAATGAATTGATCTGTGTCATCCTAACAAGAAGTGAGCAGTGGTGTCCTTCAAGGGTCTGTGCTTAGTTCAGTGCTTTTCAACATCTTTATCAATGGTTTGGATGTGGGGGTGAAGAGCTCATTGGTCAAGTTTGCAGAGGATACCAAGTTATGGGGGAGCATGGTAATGCTTGAAAATAGGCTGCAGATACAGGCAGACCTAGACAAGCTGACAAGTTGGGCAGATCGGAACCAGATGAAGTTCAACATTGAGAAGTGTAAAATGGTCCATCTGGGGATGAACGATATCTAACACACTTACAGGCTTGGTGGTGCCAAACTGACTAGCACCATGATTGAAAGAGGCCTAAGGGTAATAATAGATCATAGTATGAACGTTAGCCATCAGTGTGATGCTGTAGTCAACAGGACAAACAATACTCTGGCATGCATCAACCTATGCATCTCAAGCAAAACCAAGGAAGTAATTTTTCCACTTTACGCAGCACTGATGAGACCGCAGCCTGAGTACTGCATCCAGCTCTGGGCACTGCACTTCAATAAGGAAGTGGAAAAACGTGAGAGAGTCCAGAAAAGAGCCATATGATCAGGGACTTTCAAGGCAAGCCATACGAGGAAAGACTAAGGGACTTGGGTCTCTTCAGCCTAAAAAAGAGAAGGCTGAGAGGGGACTTGGTAGCAGCTTACTGCTATATCAGGGGAATACATCAAGGGCTTGGCAAACAAGTGTTCATCAGGGTATGCTTGGAGAAAACCAGGAGTAATGGCCACAAACTCCTGGAAGACCACTTCAGGCTTACCACTAGGAAAAACTTCTTCACAGTTAGGGTGTTGAGACTGAGGAATAAACTCCCTTCAGAAATGGTGCAATCACCTACCTTGGAAATCTTCAAGAGGAAACTGATGGTCACCTGACCCCAGTTGACTTTCCTGCCTACTGCAGGGAGGCTGGACCCAATAATCTTGCAAGGTCCCTTCCAGCCCCTTCTTATCTATGAATCTATGAATCTTTAACACTATGTGAATTTTGGTGTCTGCATCTCAAAAAGGATGTTGTAGAATTAGAAAAGGTACAGAAAAGGGCAACCAAGATGATCAGGGTATGGAGCAACTGCTATACCAGGAGAGATTATAAAAGCTAGACTCTTCAATTTGGAAAGAAGAAGGCTGTGTGGAGTTATGACCTATAAAATCATGAAGGGTATGGCAATGACAATGAAATCAAAGAGGCCTTCAGAGCAAAAGTGTTGGAAGAAATATAAACTGGAGAAATAGAAGACACTGAAAGTTGGTGGCAAGAGGCAGCAGATAAGATCAGGAAAGTGGGAAAAGAAATTTGCTGAGTGTCATTTGGAAAGATACCTGTTGGGAAAGAAACCTGATGGTGGAATGAGGAGGTCAAGGAAGTGGTAAGGTAGAAGAAGAAATGTAAGAAATGGAAAAATACAGGGGACCCTCTGGAATTTGAAGCATATAAAATGGAGAGAAAGAGGACCGATGCTAAGGCCAAAAACACTGCAATGGATGATTTGTACTAAGGGCTAGAAACAAGAGGGACAGAAGGAATTGTACAGGATTTTTAGAAGAAGAGAGAGATTGACAAGGGGTGTGATGCACAGATATGATGATCAAAGATGAATTTGGCACACTGTTGATGAATGAAGAAGAGATTAAGGACAGGTGGAAAAAATATTTTGAAGACCTGATGAACAAAGAGAACCCAAGAGGTTTGCGAGCAAGTGCCACAGAAAATCAAGGCATGGTGACTGACATCAGCAGAATGGAGGTGAAAAGAGCATTGAACAAAATGAAGAATGGAAAAGCAACAGGACCTGATGATATACCAGTGGAATTTTGGAAGGTCTTGTGGGGAAGAAGGCATCAATATACTGTGGGAGATGTTTAAAGCAATATTTGCCACAGAGACGATGCCAAATCAATGAAGAGGGAGTGTTCTGGTGGCAATATTCAAGCAGAAAGATGATGTCCAGAATTGTGGCAACTATTGGGGAGTCACTTTGAAGGTATGGAAATGAGTGGTGGAGAATCAGTTAAGGACAGAGGTAGTCATTGGAGAAGGCCAGTATGGATTCATGCCAGGGGAAAGTACCTTGGATCTGGTTTTTGCAATAAGACAGATGATGAAGAAATGCAGGGAAAGTTATAAAGATATCCACTTAATTTTTATTGACCTGGAGAAAGCCTATGATCATGTACCCAGGGGGACATATGGGAGTGCCTAAGAGTTAAGGAGGTCCTGGAAACATATGTCAGAATCATCAAGGACACATACTGGAAATGTGAGGAGTGGTTCAAGAGAGACAATAGGAAGTGCAAGCTGGATTGGACCAATGGAAAGAAGTGCTAGAGGGAAGAGGGATGAAGTTTGATTGATGCAAAACAGAATACACGCATTGTGATTTCTCTGAGGTACCTGATATTGGAAATGTGATAATCTATAGGAAACATGTTCAGAAAGTTGACAAGTGCAGGTATCTGGGGTCAGCCATTCAGCAGAATGTAGACTTAGATGAGTTGAACCATGGAATAACAGCAGGATGGACAAACAGGAAATTAATTGGCAATAGGAATATTATGCAACAGGAGAATATCAGTGAAGCTGAAGGGGAAAGACTACAAGACGTGTGCATCCAGTGCTATTGTATGCAGTGGAGACATGGCCCCCGAAGAAAACTCAGGAAAGTGAACTTAACACAGATGAGAATGCTCCAATGGATGTGTGGAATGACAAAGCTGGATAAAATGAGGAATACGTACATCAGAGGATCAGTGAATGTAGTGGCAGTGCCTAAGAAAGTACGAGAGAGAAGACTGGCATGATATGGGCATGTTCAAAGGAGTCTTCAAGAATACATGAGAAAAAAAGCTATTAGAATGGCATTACCAGGGAGAAGGAGAAGAGGAGATGAATATGAGATGAAGAGATATAGTGGAGAGGAAAATGAGAGAGGAGGAGTTGAAAAAGGAAGATACATATATGACCGAAGCTGGTGGGGATCCAAGACCTGCAACAGTGAGTCTGTTCAGATGGGACTAGTGAGGAAAGGATGAGGAGAAGATCATCATCATGAAGGGTATGGACAAAGTGAAAAGGGAAGCATTACTTACCAAGTCCCAGAATACAGTAACTAGGGGACATTCACTGAAATTATCAAGAGAAAGGTTTAAAACTAACAAACAAAAGTTAGTTTTTATGCAGCTCATTTAACTTGTGGAACTCAAGAGGTTGTTCACATTGTTACCATGGGAGTAGGAAGGATATAACAGAGGACAGATTACTTTAGATGTACCCTGTTTATATGTCCCTTCTCTAAAACATCCACTCTTGCTACTGTCAGAAACAGGATACTGGGCTACATGGACCATTGGGCCAACCCAGTATGACAGTCTTTATTTTCTTATGTTTTTATCAATACAAAATACAATCACATAAGATATGCACAGTAGATTTTTTTAGATGCCATTAAATCTTTCCCTGTAGAATCAGAAGTTAATAATATGTCTTATGTAAGAGGAACTGTAGTATATGCCTGATTTTTTGGGATTATGATGACAGAACCTTTTAGTGCTGTCAGTGCTCCCATCTTTCTATGGCCTCTGTTGCAGAATTAGTGGTTCCTCTGGAATTCTGGTGTTTACTTCATGCCCATTACATACTTTGAAAAATATTACATTTTTGATTCCCACCTTTTTTATGTTTTTATGTTAGAATATCTGCACCTCAGTGCCTAAGTTCATTTAGTTGTTCTACCTAGTACTTGACATATTTTGTAGAATAGTATTAACAAGCTAATAATGATTCTTGTTTTTCTCCTCCTACCCCCTTCAATTGTCCTGTTATTGTAAATGGACATTTCACGTGGATATGCTAACTTCTGGCAGCAAGGAATTAAACTGGGGTTGTTCAAGTCAAAACTATACACCTGAAAAGATTAATTGGTGAGTCCCAGTTTTTTAAATTACTGGATTTTTTTAGTACAAAGAATTATATAAAGGACTGTCCTTAATACAGATGAAGAAATGCTATTGACATTAATAGTAGTTCTGTGTATGAATGAAGGCTAAATAAGATGTGGTTTTCCTCTGCCTCCTTAAAATACATGAATGTTTTATCTCTAAAGAACTTAGCCTAGTGTCCACCAAAGGTAATAAAAGAGTTGTATTGATTTTGATGAACATTAGATTAATTCTGAAGTATACAGCTGGTCTAAAGATAGTAAATGAATAGCTGCCCCCCCAAAAAATGATTATAGGAAAATAATTAGCCATAACTACTGTATACAGTTATTTCTCCCAACTGTCTTGTTTTTATGTATTTAATCAATTGCATTGTATTTATGTAAAAAAAATAGAGGGCTGATCCAAACCTCATTGAAGTCAACAAGACTCTTTCTATTGACTTCACTGGGCTTGGATCAGGCTTATCAAATAACTTTTGTTTAATATCAATTTTATTTTGTGATTGTGAGCTGACAGGTCTCCTATTATTTGGGTGAACAGAAGCTTGCCGTTGTGGGGGTTACAGGTAATGTATAATTTGAACATTTTAGTAATTTTTTAAATGTATAGTCTAAGTAAACATTATTACAATGTTTCAGGGAAGTTAATAAGCACATAGCAATAGTTATAAAACTAAGGTATATCACATATTTTGCAACACGTTACAAGGATAATTATAAAGCAATAAGGATAAACTAAGAAAGCAAACCTGATTTCATCCAATGTGGCACTACATATTTCATTAGTCTGGAATATATTTGTATTTTAAATAAGGTACTGCAGATAAAGAGAGAACATACTAAAAATTATTCTATTATTCACTTTAATTAATTTTCCTTAAAAATTACATAAATCACTATCGGCCCAATATTGTTGCTTTTACTAAAATGACTGGTTCTAGTGTTGTATGCTATGGGCCTTATTACATATTAATTGTAGGTGGCTTCTGAAGTGCTTAACACCTCCACTGTTCATACATTAACACCTGAAACTAGTTTTAAGCACACTTTAGGTGGCTTAAAGTTACACCACTCCAGGGCCAGTTTATCTCTGATCTGTTACCCAGCTTATGTTACATTAATGGGTAGCCAGTCCCCATAGATGAGCACCAAGGTCTTCCAGGATCCTGGAATTCAGTGTCCCCTCCCCTAACCTCCTGTACTATGTGGACATACTTTCCAACCCCTAAACTCTGCTGGCCAGGGGACAGTTCTGGCACCAAGCCAACTTCTTCTCCTGCTCCCAGGGGTGCGACCCTATGCAAACAAGTGGCCAGCTAGCCAAGTCACAGGGCATGGATGAGTCCAGCAGTGGGATCTATGGTGATTGGGAGGGAACAAGGTAGGGGGCCAGATTGGGTCCTCATGAGCTGGGGTTTCCTTCCCAGGACAGGAGCAGGTGCTCTCCCAATAGCACCTTCCCTCAGTGCTCCCATCTCCCAGGCATACCAGGAAGTATGACCAGCACCCCTCACTCCCCAATCCCAAATCCCAATTTATTAAAACATGAGGCCTTCTTTACCTTACTTCCTCTTTCTTTTTAAATTCTTTTTTTTTCTTTTTCTTTTATGTTTCAGTGACTGACTTGCTGCATTTTACCACCCTTACCCCACCCCCATTTCCTTTCCACCTCCCATATCATTATCTATGTTTCTCCCAGAAGAAAGCACACCATCATCCCATTAACTCTAGACCTCCCAGCTCCATGTTCTCCACCTCCACCCAACAACCCATCTTGCACACCACCCCCATCTAGAGCAGGGAATGAAGCCTGTTCGGATTTATCAGTCCTGTAGTGGCAATTTACAGCTATATATGTGGTGGACAGTCAAAGAAGGTTTTGAACCTTAAGGTGTGACCACTCCGAATTCAAGCTAGCTTTAACACTGATCAACATTTGAGCATCTCAAAGTGCAATGTGTAAAAAAGCCCTAAAACTAAGTTATTATAGGGCCCACCTACACGTTGTCTGTGGCAGCATTGTCACTGTGCCATGCTTTAGTACTTCCTTTTGGGAGTACTAAAGCATAGCACAGTAACCACCTGTACTGTGCCATATGCACAGTGCATGGTTATGTTTAGCGGCTACTTCACCTTGGGTGCACATTATAACAAGGGAGCACGCCACTATGGTGAATTAGCTGCTGGTCACATGTAGATACCTGTGGATGCTATATCATCACAGCACATTGCTACGGTGACATAACATCGTGTGTAGATGCATGCATAATGTAGTATACTTGGGACTATATCTTAAATGTACCAGGAAGGTAAAGCTAGGACATAATTTGCTAGCCTACATGCTCCATAGAACATCTTGCTCTGAAAATATATATCAGTGGTTTGTGATTTGCCTTGGACATCTTAGCTTCTGGGTGTGACTAAAGTAGTTGGTTTTAATTCATAGAATTCTAAATTACTTTGGCCCATGGGTATAAACAACTGCCTTTCTCCCTGTGATACATTACAGGAAGATCAATAATCACACCCAAACATGATTCTTCTTCCCCCTAGTAAAAAAATAAGGGATTTTTATTGGGGTATCTATGGGGATCAAACCCTTGACCCTAATAGCCTGATGCTGTTAATGTTCAATGAAAATTGCAAGATTTAGTTTTCAAAAAGGGCTGTGGCAAAGGCAGTATTATTTAGGGTATGTAATTTAAGGAGAACAGAGGGTTGTTTTTTTTTAATCTAACCTGCAATATTAGGTCTTATTTAGTTATTTTATTTTCAATATCTTGTAATAGTTAATGCAAATTAACTAACTAAATAGAAATAAAAATAAATAAAAATGAAAGTAATGAAGCTTTCAGAGTTTCAGCATTTCTTAGAACCAGGTTTGCAGTTATTAAAATTTACATGGTTTGTGAAGTCCGTAGATTGTTTTTAATGCTAAGCTGCCAGCATCTGAAAACCTTCTGAGATATTTGTGGGAGTCCCTCTAAGTAACTCATTTTTGTAGTAAACATTCCTTAACCTCCTAGTAAAATAATACCATCATGTTTTTGCACTATGCTTAACAATTCCATTATGGTGATTTGTCTTGCTGTGTAATACAGGAGATTATTAAAGCAATATTCCCCTGATGGAGATAGCTTTTGAATATTTGTTTAAAATATGCAAGACTTGACCAAGATATCCAGATTGCTTTCTTTGATTTAATTTGTAAATCCTGAGAGACAGCCTTAATATTTTTGGATACCAGTCTCTTTCATATTCATATTCTGCTAACGTATTATATTCAATAAATACAGTAAGATTTTATACAAACACACACAAAAGAGGATACATATGAAAATTGCAAATTAAAATTCACTGAAATTCACTGGTGTGGAAGATAGAAACTTCACTTTATCTGAAGCAATGTTAATTATTTAGGTATACTAACAGGTTGCAATAGAAATAGCATTTTTAGAATTTTTAAATTTACAGTATCTGTTCTGAATCTTGATAATGTTATTCTAAATGCATATACTAGAATGTGATGGGTTTTCAGTAGTAGTGAGCATTAATTTTAAATTAGGATTTCTGAGTCTAATTTAATTCCAGGCTCCAGACTAAGATGTACATGTGTACAGATATAATCACCACAATATCCAGTAAAATAAAATATTGTATTTAGTGTACACACAATTTCAAATTACTTTTGAGTTTATTTAAAATATGAAGTCATGTAATGTGTAAAGAGTAAATAGTTACTAATTGACAACTGACAATTGACTTTGTATGTGTCAAGTAGCTCAACTGTCTGCAGCAAAAAATGCAAGAGCCAAGGATTTTTGGGGGTGATACCTTTTCCTGGACATGCATTACTGGGGATAAATCTTGACAAGATTTTGAATGCAGGGCATTGACCTAATGAAGAATGCCTTTCATTCAAAAGCCTGACAATCATCAGTTTGTCTTATACAATATATTGCTCCAAAGAATCCTTGCTGCTTGCATCTAGAACATCATGGCTACATCACTCCAACGTTAACAAAATATGTAAAAAAAATAATTTGCTATATGATTAGTCAATAACATTATCTTTTTACATAGAGGTTTATAATCTTTTTACAACAACCATGTATCCTGTATAGGACTAAGAAAAATCATGCTTCAATAAAAAGGCTGAAAATGGTGAACACTTCCCTTTCCCTCTTATGTACCTGCTGTGTTTACAGAGTTAATCACTTATTTGATAAACTTCATTATATATACCTCATCTGCACTCCTTCCCCACCCCCAACAACACCTTGTCTTGTTATAAAAGGACAAGTAGCAGCTTTGGGCAGATTCTAGCTATCTCTGTTCTGAATCCCATCAAAATCTTAGAGAGACCAGTTTGCAGATCTTCTGAAACAGTATTTATAAAGGAAATTCAGTGGCTTGGCCTAGGGGACAGTCTGAATCTGGGCAAATGCAGGGCACATATGTTAGCAGATTTTGACAAGGTTTGAACTTTCCTCAGCATTTTCAATTTGGAACTTAATATGATTAATATGGTTTGAATTTTTTTTACACGTAAGTTCAGTTAGTTTTGATAATTGTTAAACATTTGATGGCATTTCTCCAGTTCAAATTTGCTTTATTTTGTTACTTTACAAATCCTGTATTAACATATGTCTATCTTTACTTTAGGTTTCAGTGGCTTTAATAAGTCTGTTTGAAACAATGCTCCTGAGCTATCTGAGCTACAAGGTAAGCCTTCTTAGCTCAGTTCTTTGGATTTAGTAGATACATTTTCATTAATGGTAATCGGAGCATAAAAATCCCTTTGTGAGGAAATATAATAGTTGCAGGTAGGCATAAGAAAAAATAGTAATCTTAACTGTCTAGGATTTTTTTAAAGGCTAGCTGGTGGTTCAAGAAAAACATGCTATATCCCTGTACCATGGTATCTAACTCATATCTATGATTTATTAAAATCTGATCCATTTCATTCTGGGCCTGAACCAAAGCTTATTGAAGTCAATGGGAGTTTTGCCATCATTGGAATAGGAGCAATGTTTATTTTAAGGAAAGCTATAGAAAACTAAATTATAATAAATATCATAGTATGAAGACATACAGGTAGAAATAAGCACCCAAATGTCCACTAGTGTAAATTGGTCTCATTCCATTAAATTTAGAAAAGTAGAACTAAAAAAAAAAAAGTCAAACTAAGTGAATTTCCCAGAGTAGAATCTAGCACAAGAAAAGTAGTGTAGATTTGTAATATCTAGACTATAAAGTTTCCAATACGGGGAAACAAATGTGTGGCAAATACCACCTTTGTTTCTGGAGACGTGATAGCTTCCTTCTTCAATGTTGCCAGCACGCTGCTGGGAATGGTGTTAGCTTAGCCTTTAGTGATACAATGCGACATTAAAGGCCTTGTTGCATGGGATACTTAGGAGGTGTGTCTACATATTCATGAATGCACTATAATTATGAGACTAATAATAACAGGTACTAACTAAAATAACAGGTACTAATGGGTACTAACTTAACGCACCATAATTGGCACTATTACACATTAGTGCAGAAGAATACTTTTTGTGTGACACTTAATGCACATTGGGCTAATGTGACTATGAATTAGCAGTTTTTGCCAGCCACACCAGTGAGCAGTAGAATTAGTTCACTGTGCATTGTCTCATGTAGACATGCCCAGTAAGTGTTCAATATGTACAATATTAAAGGTAGAACATTTTCAGAGCAGTTGCACAGTAATGTTAGCTGTTATCTTCTACCACACACTTGTTGTCTTTTGGTCCCAGCCCTGGCACTGCACCAGAGTCTTGAACTGGCTCTGATATGGTGTAGATCTCAGATCAATGATCAGCTCTAGGCACCCAGTTTTCAACTTAATTCTGAAGGAACGTGACAAATGAAAGGTCCAGGATCTTTTTCCTGATATGTGTGGCTTTCCTCATCCCATCTTGAGGTTTGATACATCAGAGGGGTCCCTGGCTGATGTCATGCCTGAGTGAGGAATGCAAATTGCTCATATTGTCTCCATGAAATAGTCCAACAATAGCTTAAGAAGTGTTACTTAATACAGGCTGGACATACCCCTTGCACAAAGAGTCATAACTTTGCTAGGAAACAAGAGTATATGTAATTGCTTGAACACATGGATACTTGCATTTTAAGTGCATTTAACACATACTAAATGAACTGTGCATTCCCTAAGGAATGCAATGGTGTTGTGACTGTAAACAAATATCTCATCTGAAGGTGTCCTGATTATGCAAGTCAAAACCGAAGAAAAAAGAGGAGTGGCACAGCCCTTTATACAGGTAGTCCTTCCAACCTACATTGCTGCTCAGTGGCCAGGGAAGGCACACTTTCGAATGACTGCAAGTAACTGGAATGAACTGCTTTTAACATGTAGAGGTACACAACATTGTCCCAGAGGAAAAAGTGGTAGCACACTTTATCTCTCATACTCCAGAAGTACTTAAAGTGAGACAATAAGATCCCAGAGCAGAAGGTTTTCTTCTCCTGGGAGAAATGTGACATCTATTTACACCCTGGGAATGACTTTTTTTCTCCTCAGGAAAATAAAGGCTATGTTCTTGATTGCTTTTGCTGGTATTAAAAATCAGACAACATTTTTCCCCAGATCTAGGTTAATCATATATTAAATTCTAATTTGAACAACTCTGTACTCCTAATTTAATTTCAATCAAATCTTAACTTCCTGTCCTAAACCAATGGGAAGATTTACTGACAGCAGTTTAAAAGGGTGATATATTTCAGTCCATTCGTGCCTCCAGTTTAGAGGGAGAGAGGAGATGCATACAAATACAGACACAAACATATATATATTTCTTTGGGAACCTTTGAAATTAAAGACTATATGTACAGTAATAATATCATATTATCATCATCTTCCGATTATATTATGTTATATAACTCCCTGATAGTGTAGAATTAGCATGTATGTTGCATGATATTATGAACCATTGGAAATACAGAATCAATATTTCTGTGGCATCACTGCTTCTGTGAACTTGCAGCAATGGAGAATGCCTGTTCCCTGCAGCACTTCTTATAATAATATTAAAACTAATAGTAATAGGGGAAGGGAACAGAGAATTCAAAACACTTACTGTCATCAAGTATAAAATAAAAGCTAGGCGAATTAAATGGTTAGTTTAAAGCCTACATTGCCACATTTTGTGTCTGCATTTAAATGGTAGTGAAAAACAAGAATATGAGATATAGCTGTAGAATTGGGCATGCTGCCTAAGACAGCCCCTTTATTATTTCTCAAATCTATTTGGTATCAGAGAATAATATTTAAAATCAAGAACTGGAACTTAAATCTTTTAAAATCTTTCACTGCATCAGTGCCATTTACAGCCAAGATTTCAAAGTATTGGATGCCTGATTTTGGGTACAGAACTTTATATACAGAGTTATTTTCCTTTATGCTGGATAGCCAATGCTTCTATAGTTTTAATTATATCATGCTAATTGGCCACATATTCTAGGGTCCTGAATGTTGTATTACTTACACAAGTAACTGAGTCAACTGTATGGAAAAATACAACTATTTGGTGTTAGTATTTTCTCACTTCTCATACTTTGCACTTAGTTTGTATCAGTTTGAATGATTTAAAGTTATGGTGAATCTGTCCCATTCATAGTTATTCAGATGTGTGCACAGTGCGTACCACCCTGATTTGCCACATATATGTTTGCAAACATAAATGACTATGCATGATGATGGTCAGTCCTTCCCAAAATATCTTATAATAATGAAAAAAATGTACATTTCCTCAACTGATTATTTTCATGTCACATGCTTGCATATAAGCTAATGTACTTAATCTGTTAACTTTAAGCCCCCATTTTCACATAGTAATATAAATAATACAAATATCAGAGCCCCTTCATAATAGCTGAAAGTTTATAGATGTTATGAATCATAGAAAAGGAAGAATAGGCATTATTCTCAGTTATTCCTACATTAGAGGTGGAGCAAAAGACTTCTGGGAGATGTTAATTTAGTTGAATGATTGGAATCTGACAGATTTTCTCTCAGATCTCAGAAACTTTGCATCCTGCCATGCCAGGATTAGCATGTTAATTGTAGAATAATCATAATATACCACATGTTTAACCAGTTTATAAAGCCATAAAATGGCAAACCAGCCAGGAAGATGTCCCATGGATTATATGCACATGGAAACATAAGAATTGCTTTTTACTGGGTCAGACCATAGATCCATCTTTCCCAGTATCCTGTGTCACAGAGTCACAGAGAATGGATGCTGAAAGGGAGAATGAACAGGTTAGGACAAGGGTTTTCTCCACTGTTTCTGTCTCACTTGCAGCCTCCATAATTAAGGTCTAGATTAGAGAATCCTGATTCAGAGGCTGTATTCCTACCTCCCATGCTCAATAGCAACTGGTGACCCTTTCCTCCAAGAATTTATCCAATTAATTTTTGAATCTGGCTAAATAGTCAGTTTGCACATCTTACAGCAATGAGTTGCACAGTTTAATTACATGCTGTATGAAAACAGAGGTTCCTTTAGTTAGTTTTGAACTTTTTACCTACCAGTTTCATTTTATGACACCTGGTTCTTGTCTTGTGAGAGATAGGGATTAATATGAGAGATAGGGATTAATAAATCCCTATTTACTTTCTCTTCACCATTATGTTTTTTGTAAACTCTTATCATGTCTCCCCTCAGGTGTCTCTTTTCTAAACTAAATTGGCCTAGCCTCTTTAGTCTATCCTCATATAGAAGCCCCTCTATATCGCTAAACATCCTTGTTGCCCTTCTTTGTACCTTATCTAATTATTCTCTATTCTTTTTAAAGTATGGATTACAAACTGGGCACAGTATTCAAGGTGTGGACACAACATGGATTTATAAAGAGACATAACGTTACTTTCTGTTTTGTTTATAATTCCCTTTTTGATAATCCCTAATATTTTATTCACCTTTCAATGTGCATCCCAGCCGGTTGGTGTCAATGGAGACAAAAGTCCCAGATTTTAGTGAACTGTTCACAAAGACTCCCCAATCTCTCTCCCATGAGGTAACAGCTAATACCCATCACAGTGTAGGTATAGTTTGGGTTATTTTTGCCCCAAAAGGTGGATCACTTTACGGTTATGTACACTGAATTTCATCTACCATTTAGTTGCCCATTCATTCAATAATGCCACATCCTTCTGTAGTTCCTCTCAGTCCACTTTGCTCTTCACCATTTTGAATAATTTTGTATTACCTGCAAATTTGGCCACCTCACTACTCACCCCTTTTTCCAGATCATTTATGAATATTTTAAATAGCATTAGTCCCAACACAGATCCCTGGGGGAACCCTCTGTTTAGTTCTTTCCTTTCCCCCCAAAATGACTATTTATACTCACTCTTTGTATTCCATCTTTGCGCCAATTACTATTCTATGAGTGGATGTTTCCTACTTTCTTAAGAGTAGGGTAACCATACATCCTGGATTGGGCAGGACAGTACCAGATTTAGCAAGCCATCGTAGCATCCCAGCCAGTTGGTGTAAATTGAAGCAAAAGGTCCAGATTCAGCTGCTTCAGGAAGAGACAAAGGCAGAGGCAGAGGCTGAAGTTGCTGCTCCCCCCAGGTCAGGGCTGGCTCCTCCTCAGCAGTAGCTAAAGGTGGAGGGGTGGGGTAGGGGGATAAGCTGGACTGGGCACCACTTTTCCTGCCTCATGGG